GAGATGATAAATTATGTACTCGCATATGCTCACTCAAATTATGCTTTTTCCCTTCAATAATTTAGGATTCTAATAGTTTATGCTTACCACGGTTATTTTAGACCATATGCTTAATTTTCTTCGGTAAATAAGTTTTTAGTGGGAATATGAAAGAAATGGTTGCAATGAATTCTAATGCACATAGTTGGCATGAATGAGATAGATTGTGCCAAAATAATTTATTCTCGTACCAAAAACAATAATCGTACTTTTATTTCTCTTATTCTTGAAATTTCTGCCTTCTTTATATCCCTGATATCTGACTTCATGCTGACTAGTTCATGTTTCCCTTGTGAAGCAGTTTCAGCTTCAATCCTGATGCCATAAACTTGTTACATATGGATCTGCCTGTAAGTGTAAGTATTTAAGAGATGTGCTTCTTATTAGTTACTATTTGTTAAATTATGGTAATAAATGATGATGAGAGGAGATTTTTAAACCAGCTCTTGACAGCACTGACTTATTATTGAAAGTGTTGATTATGATTCTTCCATATTTGTAATAATGCACTTGAAAATACATGCACACACTCATCTTACACTTTGATAAACATCAATATATAAGGTTCATTATCAAGTTATTGATTCATTGGTGTTATTCTTACTTCCCCCATTGGTTAGCTTATTCATGAAGGACAATTGCCTTTTTCTTCGCCCAATTGATGATTAGTTTCAAAATTTTGAGTCTGATTGCAAAGTTTTAGATAGGTTGCTGAAGGACGGGAATACTCTATATTTAAATTTGAAAAAGGAAGACAGCTGAAACAGAAGTTATGACAATATATCATGTTACCACAGGTGTTTTGAGATTTAAGTCTTTTCAGATTGATTGGCAAATTTTGAAAATTTCGATGGCTTCTGCACTTCTTTCAAAAAATTGAAGGTTACTCGTAAGTCTTTCAGAATTTGCCAATCAATCCGAAATGGTTTTGTAAGATATAAGATTGTTTATGCAGGGGGGAAAAATGATGCAAGATTGTGAATTATTAGCATAGTTTTTTTTTTTCCTGTACTGTTTATCACCCACATGCATCATGCATGGGCACACGTTCACACACGCCCACATATAGCATTTGTAGTCAGCTAATCAGCACTTAAATACTTACAGTTTCCCCTACTTTTTCCGTTTATATACCCCAGCTTACTTTTGGGAACACTTTATACTGTCAAGCACTTCAGTAGTTATTCCCATGAATGCTCCCATGTTACACTCAATCATTTTTAATTTACTGTTAAACCTACTATAATTCTATTTTGAACCTACCATAATTTTATCCGCCTTTTATTAACTAGAAATATCTCAAATTCAGAACTAAGCTGGATGGTTTATTCGTTGCAGGATACACCAAGTGGTGAAGTAGCTGTATAGGCGCTAACTAGTGCTAAAAGTCAAAAAACTAAGGAAAAGGCTGATAACGAGAGTTATTTACACCCTCCGGTAAACGTAGCTGTATAAGGTGCTATATATCCCTAAAAGTCTTCAAAGCTCCCGAGATCAGGTTGTCGGGTTTTGTTGTACATAAAATAGCAAGAGATGTTCGTCTCATTCTTTATGTTTATATTACCTTTTAACTCCGCTGTGTACTCCTGGTTGGGTGAATATAGATATGAGCACAGTTAATAAAAGAAAAGTTAGTTGCATGTTCAATTGAGCCTACAAGTTACAAAAGCGTTACAGTCCGGAAACTGGCCTTAATGCTTTCTTGTGCGGTATGTCTTTGGCTCTGTTTGACAAAACTAGCTGAAAGCTGTGAGATTATAGCTGAAAGTTGTTAAGCTAGCTGAAAGCTGTTAAGCTAGCTGAAAGCTGTGAAATTGTAGCTGAAAGCTGTTAGCTGTGTAGCTAGCTGATTGACTAGAGCTGTTTGGCAAAAGTAGCTGTACAACTAGCTTAAATTTGTTAAATGACTATAAAGGACATGTAATATTATTGATATAAAATTAGAATTATTAGGGGTAAAAACGGAAGAAAAAAATTGGCAGCTCCTTCCCAAAGGCTCTGTTTGGCAAAACTAGCTGAAAGCTGCGAGATTATCGCTGAAAGCTGTTAAGCTAGCTGAAAGCTGTGAAATTGTAGCTGAAAGCTGTTAGTTGTGTAGCTAGCTGGTTGACCAGAGCTGTTTGGCAAAAGTAGCTGTACAATCAGCTTAAGTTTGTTAAATGACTAAAAAAATCATGCAATATTATTGATATAAAATTAGAATTATTAGGGGTAAAAACGGAAGATAAAAATTGGCAGCGCATTCCCAAAGACAAACGCTACTTGAGGTAGCTTTTCAAAAGCTACTTGCAAAAGACACAATCTCTAAAATAATCTCCTCCTATTTTTTATCACCAAACAGCTCTACTAGCTTATTGACCAAGTCAATAAGACACAAGCTCTTAGATAAGACACTTTTTTTGGTTGCCAAACAGTGTCAAAGACAAACGCTACTTGAGGTAGCTTTCCAAAAGCTACTTGCAAAAGACACAATCTCCTAAATAATCTCCTCCTATTTTTGGTCACCAAATAGCTCTACTAGCTTATTGACCAAGTCAATAAGACACAAGCTCTTAGATAAGACATTTTTTTTTGTTGCCAAACAGTGCCTTTGATTTTGCATGAAATTTGAAAATGTGTTTCCTTGGGGAGTTATATTCGTTCCGTTCTGTAGGTTTTGTGCGCTTATTTCACATCTTCAGCTTCCACGGTTGTGTAAAAGGCAATAGTCCGCTGAAGAAATCCCCTCTTCCGTTCCCAGCTTCAGCCTTCGCATAAGGTATACGTATGAAGCTTTCACTCAAGTATATTTAGGGGTTAATTGAATTATTTGGTCGCCGAGTTTGTCTCATGATTAGACGCTTATAAGTGATTGGATGACTAATCATCTGACTCAAAATATTAATTCGATTGCCAATCACTTCTAATGTTTTCCGTCAATTGATATAACTTAAAACAGCTGCACGTTCCATCAATTGATATAACTTGAACAGTTGCACGTTCTTAAGAACCTCCATATTATTTTTAGGGTGGCACTAGGGGCATACTCCCAACCACAACCTCAACCACACCCCCCTTTCTCATTTGCTGCAGTGCACCAGGTTTTACATGGGATTTTAAAATTTTAAAATCTCATGTGGGGCCCGGTGTATTGCAGCAAATAAGAGAGGGTGTGTGGTTGAAGTTGTGGTTGGGGGTGTGCCCCTATCATTTTCCTTACTTTTATTCTAGAGTAAGGCCCAGACGTGCTACATATCAAATTTTTAGGGATTTGACCCTTCATCTTCCTTCTATACTCTACTAAATAAAAAAGAACAAATTTTCACTGTAGCCATTTTTTCACTTTTTATTACCGAAATCGACTGTAGCAAGTTTTATTTACTGAAATCGACCGGTTTTCTCGCCACGTCAGCGTCGTGACGAGAAAGCTGGTCGATTAATTTTTAATCGTCTTCGTAAACAGTTGGGGTTGGCAACCCCGACTGTTTAGTTCAGCGCCCGCTAACAGCTTCACTAAATGGTCGGGGTTGGGAACCCCGACCATTTCGTAACAGACCTATTTCGAAATGGTCGGGGTTCCCCATTCACCTGGAAACTCATACTTCCTGTAGTACAAAATGTAATCACAAATAACACATGCTAAAATACAATCATACTCCTGTTGTCAATCCATAATGCAATCACAAACACAAATATAATACGTACAATTCATATTCGCAAACTTAACATTATATCAAATCCATCGCAACACAAACAACATATCAAGTCCAAATTGCAACTCAAACGCAAACATCCTATCAAGTCCATCGAAACTTAACAAATATCAACAACGCCCTTTCCCCTCCCTCTTCCTCTCCCTCTCCCTCTCCCTCTTCTTCCTCTCCCCCTTCCTCGATCACCTTCGACGTGAGCTCGGATAAGTTCCTCGTCCGGTTGTGTGTGAAGTTGGGAGTGCATGACATCCGCGTCGTCTCGAACCGCCTGTGAACATTCGGCCTGAGTCTGCTGTGAGCCGCCAGCTTCATCATGCGCATAGCTTGATCCCACCCCCGTGTGTCCTCGTCGACGTCGCCGCCCGTACTCAATTGGTCGCTCCTCCCGTCCATCACGGCTTGCATGACGCGTCCTCTGAAGAGCCGACCGTATCTTTTTTATCATTCGAAGGAACATGTTCCTCGGCTCCTGCTCGGTAGTCGTACGCAATGCGTCATGTGCCATAGTAGAAAGCTCCTCGAGCTCTTGTACCTATAAAATAAAAACCGAAAGAAAATTATTATCAAGTGGATGGTGAGAAAATAAAACTCAGAAAATAATTGTATATTTTTCTTATACACTTACCAACTCTCTCTCGACTGGGCCTCTTGGTATGTACTCCTTCGGGGCTTTGTTTTCCTGAAATATCCACCGGCGAGTAATCCCCCAATACCACCGTAGGTACACACCTAGGTCAGGTGCATCAGCCCTCTCCATCACTACCTGTTCCTCCCTTAAAACCCACCTATGGATGTAATTTTGGCGAATTATTTGCCAATTAGCACGATGTGCACCTTTTCTTGGATCTCTCTCTATTCTCTCCACAGGCGCTGGAATATGTTGCCGTAGTCCAAATTGTCGAAGCACACGGTCAGGCAAGTGCATTTCGACAATCTCAAAGCATATAAGGGGGACGCGAGCACGCCATACATCCTCACCTTCTCGGCAAATATCCGGTAGTGACTCCAACACTAGCTCGTAGGGCATCCATTTGACCTATAAAGAAGATATTATGAGATATTGAATGAATATATTTAGATATCGGTAACAATTGGTCGCATAATTGAATATATTTAGATATTATAATTTTTATACCTGTTCATCCTCCATCTGATCAAGCTCATTTCTGTAAAAGTTTTCATGCCCCTTTGGAGAGGTTTGCCAAGATCTGGACACATTCCATCTATTTTATATACAACGGGTTAGTATATATTGAAATAAAGCACTAAAATTACATGCATCTTAATAATACCTGCAGCCTAACGGAATATGCCCATCGAGAGCGCGGGCCTCCCTCAAATCAGGTGTTCCCATATGCAATCGCTCCCATGACCATATCTGCAGCAAAGTGAGGCAGCCCTTCAATTCTTTATTTTGTACGAGTGCTATTTTCGTCATCTCTCTATACAAGTAGGCTAACACTGCACTCCCCCAAGATAACTCTCCACACTCTTCTAGGTCCCCAAGAAGCGGTAACCATCTCACGTGCACGGAATCCTTAGTGGAATCCGGAAACAGAATAGTACCGATCATATGTAAAATATATGCACGGGCATAGCGCTTAATGATCTCATCAGTCGCATCGATCGGTACATTCTGAAAGTTATTCCTTAACCATTCGAGTTTGATCTTTCCCCCCTTCATTGTAGGAGTGTGACCCAACAATTCTTCACACTTGGTCGCATAATTGAAGTCATCGATGCCCGTCACTGCATCACCATCTACTCTGAGGCCAAGTATAACCCCAACATCCTGTAAGGTAATCGTCGCCTCTCCTTGGCGAAGATGGAAAGTATTTGTCTCGGGCCTCCATCATTCAACCAATGCCGTCAAAAGTGCCCAATCAAGTCTTACCCATTTAATTTGTGAACACTCAAAAAAGCCGGCTTAACGCACATAATATTGTATCTGTGGATCCGTCAACTCCCAGCTAGAGTGTGCACGGGTATGATCGACAATAGTAATACTCGGGGCCTAGATGTAGTAAACAGTGCAAATGTTCAGTAACAATCAACTACATTGAAATTTATATATAATTGAAAATAATAAAATTGCACTTTACCTCCCCAGCGTCTATCTTCGTGTCAATGGACCCGCCTCCATAACTGAAATATCTGCACATATAACGATGATATATTAATTGATCTATAATTGAGTTAGAAAAAAATTGATTTTACTATAAGCATTGATTTATAAGCATTGTTTGAGTTTTTTATAAGCATTGATCTATAAATGAGTTAGAATGAAATTACAAATGTATAAAATTGTACCCATTAATTGCTATCTATTTGGATTGGTCGGGCAATGAGATCTTCTATGCCCGGATTGTCTATAATATCCACATCTATTTTTTTTCGGAGCTCCTTCCCGGCCTTCATCCATAGTACCTTTTAAGCGTACTGATCGTGGGCGTCCAGCTTGTCTCTTATAGCTTGGAGGTACCACATGCGGCCCGTTATAGTGTGGCCAATAACGACTATCATGTACGGGGTGGAAACACTGCTTATATGCCTCTCTATAGTTGCTTGATTGATACCACTCAGAAGCGTATGTGTAATACGAAATATTTGCACCCCCCGATTGCTTGGACGTAACCGCTATGACATGTGGACAAGGCAATTTTTGCAATTCTGGTATGTTACAGGTGCATGTGCAATGTGCACCTCCCAAATTGACGGTGTAATTGTGACCATGTTTGTCTGTAACCTCCCATTCATCTACAGCAAATCTAACAATCTTCGTGCCTCTCGCCTGCTTAACTCGAGCTTCTAAAATCGCCTCATTTTTTGGTGTCAAGAACGAGGCCCACATTGCTCCATCCTCTCGCCGCTTGACAAAATAGTAATTGAGCCTATAAAATGTCCTCGCAACCAACGCCTGTATGGGCATTGCCCAAGCCCCCTTAAGTATCCCGTTGAAGATTTCAGAACAATTGGTTGTCATCATGCAGAACTGATTCCCTCCATCTTTACTGAGTGCCCACCGGTCGACGTAATCACTGCCCAGACTTCTCTCAATCCAATCATGTGCAGCTTGAGATGTTGCCTTGATTTGATCCCGTATCCGATCATACACATATGTTTCCGGCGTACAACCCGCTTGCCACAGAAGGTTTTGTAAATGAATCTGACTAAAGCTCTTTTTGAAGTTAGCTCTAATGTGTCGTAAGCAATAGCGATGATGGTGATGAGAGCCAAATATCCTCCACAATGCTTTTGGAATACCTTTCATCCTATCAGATATGAAAGTAATTTTTCTAGGAGGCAATACATTAAAAATATATAATTGAATGCAAGAAAAAAACCACTCCCAATTTTCACTGTTCTCGACCTCCACAACGGCGAAGGCCAAAGGAAATAAGCCACCATCTGCATCAACTCCTGTAGCAACAAGCAGTACACCCTTATATTTACCGTATAAGTGTGTGCCATCAATGCTAAGAATAGGCCGACAAAATTTAAACCCCTCAATCGAAGGCCCAAATACCCAAAAAACAGAGGTGAATTGATGAACTCCCGGATCGATCTCTTTGGTTATGAGTTTGTATTCAGATCCAGGATTACTTCTTTTGATCGCATCAAGATATTGAGCTAGTGTCGCGTAAGACTTAAAGTTTGTGATAATATAATTAATGTGTGATTAATTATAATAAGTAGATATTTATTATGATAAATATCATTTCATTAGGGGTGAGCACGGTTCGGTTCGGGTCGGTTTTTACTAAAATTTGAACAACCGAACCGAACCACCTACAATTCAAAACCGAACCGAACCATTGCAAATCGGTTTGGTGCGCTTCGGTTCGGTTTGTTCGGTTCTAACTTCATCAAGTATAACTTCACTTTAATTTATCTTTTATATATTATTATTACCCTATGCCAGCATGTATTTGTTTTTTAACTTCATTTCAATTTATTATTCTTGCTCATGTATGTATACTATTTTTAAGTGAAGTAACTTGTCCTTTTGGATTAAATACTAGAATCTGACGTTGTAATTTTTTAGTAACGGACTTGCTTTGTCTTTGTGTAGCAAGCTTTGACTTTGGTCTTTGTGGAGGCAAAAAAATGAGCTGACTCATTAGAACATTGGTTGTGTATGAATCAATTCCCTGCAACTGCTATTCATGGTGATCGAAGACAGCAATAAACCCACAAATCAAAGGCACAAATATATTCGGTTGGTTCGGTTCGGGTCGGTTTGAAAAATTGTCAACCCGACTCGAACCGCCTTACTTATAAAACCGTTTTTTTCGGATCGGTTCGGGTCGGTTCGGTCGGTTTTTTTGGTTTGAACCGAACCGTGCTCACCCCTAGACATGAGTAATCAGCTTCATTTCCCTCGGTCAGACCTGTTCTTTGTGTGTTCATAAAACATATTGCATCATAACTTGTGCGATTGCTTTTAACTTGCTTGAACTTGAAATTCTTTTCGAAAGAGTATTCACGAATAGCATCAACCAATTGGTCTTTAGTCTCGAATAAATCACCAACTTTAAAGGGGGCGTCATCATCTCCTCTACGAGTTGAACTTTCACCGATGCACATATCTTTTACTGTGGAAGAACGAATCCACTCATCATCTTCAAACTCGTCGGGGGGTGGTTCTTCGTACTCAACGTAGTCATTATTAACGTAAGCCTCATCAGGCCATTCCGGATTATCTTCGACATCTTGGGTAACAAATTGCATGCTATCAACTGGTGCACTATATTGTTCTTCACCTCCCGAGTCATTGCTTCTTTCATCCTCTTCGATTGATGCCCTACTTAACGGCCCCATATTTTCATCCTCTTCGATTGATGCCCGCTCCATTTCATTCGAAGAAGAAAGAAACCCATCGGAATTAACTCTCATATCTAACATGCGTGAGAATTCTCCTAGAGGTTTGAATATTTGACACGGATTATGTGGTAACTTTTCAATAAACAATTCTACCGTTTGTTGCGACTTGCCCAATTTAAACATAATACTCATATGATAATCGTTCGAGATCTCCACTGCGGATGTTCTATCAATAGCTATGGGCCAATTGCATATAATTTTCACTCGGTATTCTCGTGGGTCAATTTCCGTAACTCGTTGTAATTCCATAACCAATTCGTAGTAACTATATGATTCCGAGATCATTAATGGCGTCGTTACCCCTCCGACGTACATTGGCATATTATTCATCCCATAATTAATTTGCCCACCATAAGAACAAACAATAAACATCATATTGTTCAACCTATTAATTTGCCCACCATAAGAACAAACAATAAACATCATATTGTTCAACCTATTCAAAAGAAAATTATATGATTTAAATATAAAAAATTAAATTAATATGCAAATAATCTCACACAATTTCAACCAAAAACCCTAATTCCCAAATTGTAAATCCTAAACCCTAAAATTGAACAATTAAACATTATATGCCCTAAAAGTTAATTACATCGATAATAATCATCATACAAACGAATTTCACAGATAAATCTAGCCCACGAAATTCATTTATGAATAAAAACCCTAGCAAATTATTTTTAATAAAAAATCCTACATTTCTACATGTTAAAAGAGGAGAGGAGTAGAAGAAATTACCTAAAAACGTTTAAGATAACTTTTGATTTGAAGCTCCGCCGAAGAAACGAGCTCAAAATTGAGATCTGAAGCTTTGGTTTTGGGAGAACAGACGGAAGAGAGAAGAGGGAGGCGGAGAAATGAGATGGGATCGGGGAAAGGGGGTTGCGGTGGCTTTTATACGGTGGTGGGGACCCAGAATAAGTAGTCGCTGTTTAGTTCAGCGCCCGCTAACAGCTTTACGAATTGGTCGGGGTTCCCAACCCCGACCATTTAGTGAAGCTGTTAGCGGGCGCTGAACTAAACAGTCGGTGTTGCCAACCCCGACTGTTTACGTGCAACCCCGATTGTTTACGAAGACGATTAAAAATTAATCGACCAGCTTTCTCGCCACGACGCTGACGTGGCGAGAAAACCGGTCGATTTCAGTAAATAAAACGATACACAGTCGATTTTGATAATAAAAATTTAAAACCAGGCTACAGTGAAAATTTGTTCAATAAAAAAACTTAAAACAGTTGCACATTCTTAAAGAACGTCCATATAACGCTAATCATATACATATTACTTCATATTAACAGCCCCTTGGTTTTCTTAGCAATAACTTGCGTATTTAAATTCCCACAATAACTTCCTATAATTTACATTTCATAATCAACAAGTCACAGGTATGAATTTTAGGAAGAGAGCACAGGTCAAAAGAAAAGAGGAGGGATTCCAAATATGGATAGTAAAGGGAAAATCTTTTCAAATGTTTATATTCTTTCTCCTCGTTATTTAATAAACTTCCAAGCCGATCAATCTTCCCTGTTAATAACTTTCTTACGTTTTTTTGCCTCTTAGGGGGTGTTTGATTGCACAATTTTATAAAAAAGTTTTCTCAAAATGTCTGACAATGGTAATTTTATAATTAAAAATTTTCTGTAGATTTCCGTAAACTGTGTTTAGTTCAAAAAAATTTACAGAAATATTTTTTGTAAAGTACAAAAAAGTATCAAAATTTACAGAAATGCTTTCTGTAAAGTACAGAAAAATACCAAAATTTACAGAAATCAATTTTCTCTCAAAATTAGCGGAAATCACCTAAAAATCTGACACCACATTGACACTTTTCTATAAAGTTAACATTTTTCTATAAATTTAGGGGGTGTTTGTTTCAATTTCTACAAATTATAGGAAATCTTGCTATTTTCTATAAAGTTATGTGCCATTTTCTTGTTTTGAACCAAACAAGCAAAGTAAAAAAACAAAAAAATTGGTATTTTTTGACTTCTCAAAACTTTTCCTATAATTTTTTTAAAAAATACAAGGAAATCATATTTTGAGTGGAAAACATTTCCTATAATTTGTAAAAATTGAACCAAACACTGCCTTAGTTTCAAAGCTTAAAAAACACCTCAAATTGCGGCTTCTGAGCAAGTCTCTCTTCCTCTCTCTAGCTTTCACACACGCGCACATACGCACACAAACTCTCATAGTGTTACTCTCTCACTCATAAACCATTTCAGATTTGATTCTGATTGTTTTATTTTCTTTTTTTAGGTTTTTAGTGGATTTGGTATGTGGGTTTTTTGATTTATATGGATGGATTTCGGAAGTTTTTGGTGTTCATGTATTCCACTCTTTGATTAGTTCTTTTCTGACCAAGAAGGTCAAGAGAAATTTTGTAACGGCCAAACAGGACAATGTGGCTGAAACTACCTACAAATAATTAGCTTAACTCATTGTCTTAAAATTGTGTTGGTCAATTATATGTTTTTTTTTTCCTATTTAAAATTTTGCAGGTTCATTGGGCCATAGATTGTTCCATTTTGCTGAATATGGCTTGCATCGAATCAGTCCTAATTTGATTAGGATTAGAAGTTTGACTTTGACCAGACAAGAAAATTATGATTGTAATTAAATTTCAATTAGAAGAGGACTAGGATTTGAATAACTCTAGAAAGTGTCATTAGAAAGGAATCCTATAGGGATTAGAATTGGTCAAAATAAGGAATCCTACATTAACTCAAAATAGGAGAAATGATATAAATACCCCTTGAGAGGTTCATTATAATATGAGAAGAAAACGGTCAAGAAGATGAAGAAAAAGAAGAAGAAAAAGAAGAAGAAAAGGATATTACTCTTGTGAGGATTTATAAGAGAGAGGTTATAATTCTTGTGAGGATTTACAAGAAGCCGGAGTGATTACACTTATGAGATGATAACAAGAGGAAAGTGTTTATGTATTCTTCTTCTTCAAGTAATAAATTTCACCACTCTCCCGTGAACGTAGACACATTACCAAACCACATAAAATCTTATTGTTTGCATTGATTGTTGCTTGTTCTTGATTATTTCGCCATGAAGTTAAGGTGCTATGTAGCCCTAAAAAGAACTAATCAAAGAGTTTCCGCTACATTGTCAAAAGTTTTGACAAGGCAATCATATTTTATATATAGTATAATTAAGGTATCTTGTAAGCTGTTTCGAAAAGGATTCGTTGGCTAGATTTAACCTTAATTGTTAAATTTCTTTCTTTTTAAATCTTTTTTTTCTCTACGAAAGATTTTTATTTATGAACCATTACATCCATGCTCATACAAGATTTAGCACTCAAATTCGTTTCATTTTTCTTTTCCAACTCATTTTTCTCCCTTAATTCCTCACACCCAATGTCTTCCTCCCATCTTTGTCCTTCAGTAGTTTTTTTAACTCCCTCAAGCTCCTCATCCATCGTCTCTCTCTCTCTCTCTCTCTCTCATTTTTCTCTTTTTATTCCATCTATTTTCTTTCTCCTGACAATCTCTTTCTCACTCTCTACAAGAATTATTGAGCTGTTAACGCATATTAGAGTTTGAGATTTTGAGAGGAAAATAGAGAGAAATAGGCAGAGAAGAGCAGGCATAAGAATTGAGGAATAAGGTTATAGGGATATTGGGTTTGTGCTCCGAAGAGGTTATTATTGTAACACACTATACGGTTTAAGAGTTGATCATTAATCATTATTAGATAAAAGAGTTTGGATAGACAACAGTCATGGGGTCATTTATTTTATTTTATTTTATTGAGATATCAGGATGGAATTTCACCATAATCTGCAGCCTTCAAACCCTGTTCTCTGGACACAAAAAAAGGACTCTAAAACTAACCAAAGTCACTCGTTTACTTGAGAAAGATACAAACATAAAAAATCCACGTTGCCTTCCATCACTAGCAGCAAGCTCCCCTGTTGCAGCCGAACCCCTTTGTCCAACAAGTCCAGCAATCTCCGCAGCGACTCTTTCTCCAGCGAAGTTCAGCAGCAGCATTTCCGGAAACTGTTTGTTTCCTCCTGCTCTTCTGACGAGTATATTTCATATTTTTGAACCTAGCAGGAATATTTCCTACCCACAAATAAAAAAAGTGAGGACTCTTTTTTTTTTAATTTCAAGGGAATGTCTATGTTTTTGATGAAAAATATGAAGATCTCATTCACACCAAATATACCATGAAATACAATGTAAAGAATTTGAGCGCTACACCTTTCTTTCTTTCGTGAATGCCTCCTAAAAACTTCGCTACGATGTGTGTACCCATACGAAAATTAAGATATAATACGGATTTATGGGTGTACATGTAACTTTTTCTTATTGTCGATAAATCTCATCCAAAACTTTTACCATCATCATATTTACTCTCTAATCATTCTACAGAAAAGATATTATTGGAGCAGTGCAGTTTGAAAATTCTATGGCCAAGAGGCTAAGCACTGAGGTTATATAATTGGTTACTCTTTAATTTTGTAAAATGTGCACAGAAAAATCTGTACATATGTTGCATCTATTTTTGAATCCTAATTGACAGAAAAAAAATCCTCTCAAAATCTGATTCAAAACCTTACCTTGTATGAATAGTGTCATAATTGCACCAAGTTGCGTCACTGTAAATAAATTACATAATATTTTTTAGATTGAAACTAAATTAAATAGGTTACTTCAGAAACCAAAAAGATCCATATATATCCCTCATATTACTATTATGACTAATACAGTAATAAGTAGTATTTGATGGATTAAGTTACCACTAACATTGGCAAGAAAGACCAGCAACAAAATTACTTGATTGATGCAGTATTTCTCAGCAGTAAATTGATTTATCCTTTCAACAAGTTATCCTATGATATGACAGCTGCCATTAAAAAAAAGAGGTTTTGCATATAGAGCCCTCAAATATTTCATATTTGCAGATTTACCCTCCAAATCTTGATATTTGCATAATTGCCACAAATTCTCTCACATTGGATTTTGCTATCCCTCCAACTCAACAATGTGGGTTGTAAATTGCGACTAGTCAAATTTGCCAATAGGTTTGAGACATTTTCCCATCTAGAAACTAAAAATGTTAAGTGGAAGTTCAAAAAATTTCAATGTGAGAATTGAGGGGTAAAATTGTAAATACCAAGATTTAGGGGGTAAATTTGCAAATATGAAAGATTTGGGGGGCAAATATGCAAAAAAAGCCACAAATTTCCTATGAAAATTAATTCACAAGGATTGTATTGCATAACAAGTGATCATGTACATAATATCAGGCTAAACATCATGATATAAGACAGACTGCAGTTATGTTTAGATGGATTAGCTGATGAACATGCAAATACCTAACCTTTCACATTAAATTAGCTTCATCTGGGAACTATTCCGGCTTCTCAACGCGTAATCCCAAGTACTGATCCAGTACATTCTTAACTACCTGCAACCCAAATAAGAATTAAAACCATATATGCCATGTAGAAGAAAATGTATGAATAATAATTAAGCACTCTAAAAATTTTCCTTGCCAGTCCTTTAACAGCAGTTATCCCAGAAAAGTCTTACAGCCTAAAGCCTTGGTTTTGCGAATTCGATAATAAGGGAAATAAAAAACTTAAAACTTACCTCCTTAAACCACCAATTCGCACTTCTATACTCATTTGCTACTAATCAATAGGGCACTGGTAGCTCAGTTCTAACCAAGCATTATACTCACAAAATATTGGGTCTCAACCAAGTACTGGAATTATGTCCTGTGATGAACTTCTACAACTATACATACTACTTAATTCACACATAGGATTGTGCTCATAAAAGGAAAAAAGTTCCCTAGAGGAATGTCAGAAAGTACCTGAAAAGCAAATGTTTCCTTTCCCTTGAGAATTGCACCCATTGCAGTATTTGGATCATCAAATACGCTATAGAATATCTGGTAAAACTCATGCCTGCAGGTTATTTTACAGAAAGAGTTTACTATCTTCATTGGTACATGAACCAAAAAAATCAAATTCATACTACATACTGCTGTTCTTTTGTCATCTGTTGATCCATCTCATCAAACTTCCTTGTCAGTACTTCTGCCGCAATTGGGGAAAGTGCGTGTAGAATGAGAGTCTCCAATGTTCTTGGGAACTGATTCTAAAGGCAAAAATAATAATTACTAGGAATTTTCATTGGACTGTTTCAGCATGAAAAAGCACGGATAGTAACTAAATTGGATTTGGTTAACAACCGTCACCTGCAAGTATTTCCCTTCAATGAACTTTTCAATTGGATAAAAAAAGGTTATTGGGTACCAGCACAGTGCCTATAACTAGAATGAGATGCCTCAATGCATGAACGGTGAGTGCGCTTTTCCAGTGACTGAAAGAATATCATGAAATGCTTTTTAAAGTGATTCAGTGAGTAAGAAATGAAAAGCATTAGAATTTAGATTTAACAAACACAACAATATGTTTCAATTTCAATTGTGCTAACTACCATGCTGGATGTTTGATAAACTAGCCGCTATCTAACACCCCGAGAAACAATGTGCATTTGACTTAATCATCAAAAGATTCTAAACTTTGCTTAATGGGTACTTATGTGGTTCTAAACTTCGCTTAATTGGCACTTACTGTAGAGTCTAACTTTACCCCCCTGACAAATTATCCACAGAAATCATAACAGTCATATTAACTCTCGAAGTTTCAAGTACTTCAGCAGCAAAGCATTTAAACAATTATACATATGGTATTATTGAAGTCGTATATTTCTTGATGTTCCTAAATTTGTTTTTCTTAACTATATCTATTATTCTGATATTTACAAGGAATGCTGGTTCATGAGTATGCTTGCATTATTAAGTTGATCATGAACCTCACTGCATCTTTTAACCATAATATTAAGAATGACTACCAAACAAAAATGTTACAGAATGCACTTAAAAGAATTCTGTACTTAAAGAAATAACTTATGTACAAAAGTAAGCTATTTTGATAAGATGGGAAAGCAGACTAAAGTGCGTATTTAACTCTTCCATGAATATACAGCATGAGCTGGTCTTTTGCAGAGCAGTATTACCCTCTAGTAACACTTTCTTGAGAACATGCGGTTCAACAGCACAGAAGATGCTAGCAACTGGGTCAGCTACCAGAAGAGAGGAATTAAAAGTTGCAGTTTGTCCGTATACATTTTGTGAACTGACAGATGAACCTTTTAAATAGGCATGCTCCATAGCTTCATTTCTACCACCAACTTTAAGAACATTATGAACCAAAGATATAAGTTCATAAAGCATTCTGAGGGCAAAGGGTTCTAGCTGCTGCAAGTCTAGCCCTTGTTTTGTGTCATTCTCGTTTACATTTTCCATCCGAATATTTGAATTAAACTCAGAACAACCTGATTAAGTATTAAAACAAAAGTTAAGAGCTTGGCCCAAAGGCAAAGGGTGCGGAATAAATAGAAGCGTCCAGACTCAAGAGCAACCAATTTGATAATCTAGGTTACTGTAACTACAAATGAGCATGTAATCTATATTGATCATATACCTTTAGGCTCTATACCGTTATTTAACTAAAATAGAAACATAAATGTGAAGCATGTGACCCTCCTATGCCACATGTTTTATCAGCTAGCTTGCTTTAACATAAAAGCAGCATAAAGTTAACCACAAAAGAAAGTTTACCTTTTGCGGCATCATTTGCATTTTCAGCCTTCTCTCTTCCTTCAAGATTCATAACTGAACTGTTCTGCAGCATAGAATTCTGCCCTATCCAAACAGAAGAAACCATGCTTACATAGTTTCCAATCATTTTAACATCAGTGTTATGCATGATAAATCAAATATTTAACACCCAGAACAAACGGCGAAAGAGAACGATCCGTGATAAACTTCTTATATGTTTATTAGAGAACTAATGACCATAGTATGAAATTGCCAAGGAAGTTCCAGATTTTCTTGAAGAAGATATCAGAGATGGCAGAAGATAAAAAGCAATTGCCAATAAATGGCAGAAGCTAATCATATGCCAATAATCTAACTTCCTTTTCCTTGAGATTTGACCCGATGATGTTTTATTTACCAATTTTTGTGACGCACCAAGATAGTCCCACATCGGATGTGGAGACAAATGATTATATAGTGAAGCTAAAGGCAAGTGTAGCATCAGCTAGTCAATTTTGGCAGTGAATTGAGCCAAACAACACGCTACAATCAGTGGTCCCACGACTTGCACGTGGCAACGGGCCCGTGGGCCCGGAGCGTGATAAATGGTATCAAAACAGTTGTCAACCGAAAGTGTAGAGCTAAGTGCTATATGGGGCTAAGTGCTACACTGGTTGAGCGCGGTAGGAGTCACCTCTAGAGTCTGCATCGGCTAGCGATACATGGATGTGTCAATTGTCATGTCGCGACAAGAACGTCGCAAATGCAAGGTGGGGTGGTTGTGATGCCCCAAGATTAGTCCCACGTTGGATGTGGAGACAAATGATTAAGTGTTTATATAATGAAGCTAAAGGCTCAAGTGTAGTATCGGCTAGTTGATTTTAACAGTCGATTGAGCCAAACAACGCACTACACTCAGTGGGCCATACAACTTGCACGCGCCAGCAGGCCTAGGGGCTCGAGGTGTGACAAATAGTGGTATCAAAGCCTTAGATTTAGAAGTCCTTAGTTAAAAATCTTTAGGCTTAGATTTGTCTCTTAAAGTGGTAGCTAATACGTTGTTTACCGACCTTATGAATAGATGGCTAAGAACAACAAGAACACTCCTTCAACCCAAGAAAGCAATTTGAACCAAACATTGGAGCAGATGTTTCAAAGTAGAAATGCATGTGGAGCTAGTTCGAGACTGAATCAATCAGATGCAAGTGCGATAGTATGGACGATGTAAGCTCTCACTGTTGTGATGCAGAACCAACAATAGTGAATTGATCAACAGCAACAAGTGCCTCAAAATGCCGAACATCCCCGATTACGAAGTGGCATGGCGGAGTTCAAAAGGTTGATGCCGCCTACTTTCAAAGAAAGAACTGACCCAATGATTGCCGAGGATTGGATCACCAAAATGGAAAAGGTTTTCACATATATGAAGTGTCCGGATGGCGAAAAGGTGGCATACGCCATTTATATGCTAAAAGGACGTTCATATGGCTAGTGGCAGAAGCGACAGAGGATTTTGGAAGATAGTGCTGACCAAATAGCGTGGGACGAGTTTAAGAAAGTTTTCTATAAGTACTTTCCAAAGAATGTTCGTCAACAAAAAGAGAGAATTCTGTGAGTTGAAGCAAAAAAATAAAACTACAGCAGAATACCAAGAAAAACTCACCTACTTATCTAAGTTTGCACCACAATTTGTTGCAAATGAGGAAGATAGAGCTTGACGATTTGAAGAGGGTCTACGCCCGAACATAAGATTTCAAGTGAGCTCTTTTGAGCTTCCTACTTATGCAATTGTGTTAAAGTAGGCCTAAGTGATCAAGAATGAGCGAAAGGAAATCTTTTCAAGCGAGGAGCACAAGGATGGCGATATGAAGAAGAAATTTAGATCAGACAGTCATGAAGGTCATAACAAAAATTGGCAGAACAAAAGACCTCATGTGGAATCCAAAGGAAAACAACCCTTCACTCAAAAGATGGTTAGATGCACGGTATGCGATAAGACTGGACATGATGAGAAGAATTGTTAAGAGTATGACTGGTGCTTGTCTGAGGTATGGTAAAAAAGATCACAAGATTGCAGATTGTCCAAAGATAATAATGTTCCAACTCAGAATGCACCTCTAATAGCTCAACGTCCTCAGGCAAAAGCTCGAGTTTATTCTTTGACCGAGCAGGAGGCTCAGGAAAAGAATGATGTGGTATCAGGTACTTTAACTTTTTATTCTTGAGCGTCACATTCTTTCATTTCTGCGTGATTTGTTAAGCAAGACTTACCATGAGACACGTTATATCAAGAAATACATATTAATACACCAGGAGATAGTGTATTAATGTCTATTAAGTGTTGCAAAAACAACATAAAGATTATGGACAATGAACTTCTGATGGAATTGATCATCCTCGATATGCATGATTTTAATATCATTCTTAGAATGGATTGGTTATCTACAAATCATGATCTTTATTATGTTGAGAGAAAAAGGTGATGTTCAAGATTCCAGGTCAACCACAGTTTTGCTTTGAGGGTAGTAAGGTACAAACATGTGCCCATATCAGCCCTTCAAGCCCATCGTATGTTAATAAGTGGGTGCACTGGCTTCTTAGCATCAGTGCAAGATTTAAACCGGAAGTTAGCCCAGAGCAGATTCCCGTCGTGTGCTGAGTTTCCAGAGCGTCTTTCCCAAGAGACCTCCAGGAATGCCACTGACAAGGAAATTAAATTTTCTATTGAACTGGTGCTAGGCACAAGCTTAATTTCAAAAACTCCTTATAGAATGCTAAAGAAAGTTAAGGAACAATTGCAAAAGCTTCTTGATAAAGGGTTTATTAGACCTAGCGTTTTACCTTAAGGCGCACCAATGTTATTTGTGAAGAAGAAAGATGGTAGCATGTAAGTGTGTATTGATCATCGGGAGTTGAATAAAGTAACAATACGCAATAATATACGTTGCCAAAGATTGACGATTTATTCGATCAATTGCTAGGAGATCAGGTGTTTTCAAAGATCGACCTTCAGTCATGATACAATCAACTGAAGATTAAGACCGAAGATATTTTAAAAATTACATTTCCTACCCGTTATGGTCACTATGAATTTTTGGTGTTACCATTTGGCTTAACGAATGCATCGACTTCCTTCATGGACCTCATGAATAGGGTGTTCAAACCCTTCTTAGATCACTTTGTTGTGATATTTATCAATGATATTCTGATATATTCAAGGAATCAAAAGGAACATGAGGAACATCTAAGGTGTGTGCTTGAAGCTAAGAAAGGAAAAGCTCTATGCGAAGTTTAAAAAGTGCGAAATTCTTATTAGATAATATGCCCTACTCCTTTTTGGGACGTAATTTCGAAGGATGGAGTTTCTATGGACCCCACAAAGGTAAAAGCTGCTGTGAAGTGGAAGCGACCGGCAAATATCCATGAGATCCGCAGCTTTCTTGGCATAGCAGGATACTACCGAATATTCGTAGAAGGATTCTCCCAGATCGCCTCACCCTTGACTCGCTTGATGCAAAAGGAGTCAAATTTATTTGGTCCAAAGAATGTGAAAAGAGCTTTCAGGAATCAGGAATCAAAGCAACAATTAGTATCTGCACCAATTCTCATTGTACCTATTCCAGGAGAAAGATTTATTGTCTACAGAGATGCTTTTCAAAAAGGTTTGGGATGTGTACACATGCAAAATTGGAGGGTAATAGCTTATGGCTCTTGGCAACTAAAGCGTTCTGAGCAAAACTGTCCAACTCATGATCTAGAGCTAGCAACGGTAATCGTTGCATTGAAGATATGGAGACATTACATTTACGGGGTGTATTGTCATATCTCCACTAATCACAAGAGTCTTAAGTATATTTTTACTCAGAAAGAATTAACTATGCGGCAAAGGAAATTGTTGGAGTTACTTAAAGACTGATGTGAATATATATTATCATCTGGGAAAAGCCAATATAGTCACGAATGCTCTTAGTCGGGAGGACACAAGTAATGTACCTAGTCTTCTTACTCAACAAAGACACATCCTAGAAGATTTGGATCAACTGAGAACTAAAATTTGGTGTCATCAGGCAAATGCTAAACAAAAAAGCATCAAAATGCAATATGCATTGATTGATGAAATTAAGACTACTCAAAAGAATGATCCACAATTGCAAGACCTTTAGAAGGGAGTCGAAGCTAGTAAATAACCGGACTTTTCAATGCATGAAGATGGATCCCTAAGATTCGGAAATTGACTATGTTCCCAATGATCCAAAATTGAAGAAGATTTTAAAGGAGTATCATCGCTCCGGATATACAATGCTCCCAGGTGGAACAAAAATGTACAAAGCTTTGAAGGAGATATATTGGTGGAACAATATGAAAAGGGAAATAAGCAAATACATCGTAGAGTGCGAGATATGCTAGCAAGTGAAAGCGCAGCATCAGAGACCGATGAGATTGACTCAGAATCTTGACACGCCTATGTGAAAATGGGAGGAAATTACTATGGATTCTGTCACTGGATTACCAAAGTCTACAAGAGGCAACAATGTTATATGGGTGATAATGGACCGTCTGATTAAGTTCGCTCACTTACCTACCAATATAAAGTTCTCTTTGGAAAAACTTGCAAAGCCATATATAAATGAGATAGTCATACTGCATGAAGTGCCAATAGAGATAGTATCTGATCGAGACCCTAGTTTTGTATTATCATAATGAAAAAGTGTGCATAAAGCTCTTCAAAGTAAGTTATATCTTTGCTCAACATACCATCCTTAGACAGATGGGCAATCTGGAAAACAATTCAAACTCTCGAGAATATGCTGAGATCTTGTATCATTGATCTCAAAGGATCACGGGAAGAGCATTTGCATTAGCACAGTTTGCACCATATGAAGCATTATATAGGAGGAAGTGTCAATCACTAATACATCGGAATGACGTTGGCCAAAGGGAACTTCTTGGACCTGAGTTGTTGCAACAAGCTATAGAGAAAATGTACTTAATTCGAAATCATCTTCACACTTCACAAAGCAGGCAGAAAAGTTATGCGGATCGCAGGATGAGAGACCTAGAATTTCAAGAAGGTGACCATATATTTTTTAAGGTTTCTCCTACTCGAGGAGGGAAGAGATTTGGTATCCGAGGAAAGTTAAGTCCAATATTTATTGGTCCTTTTGAAATTCTTTAGCGAATTGGTGAAGTAGCATAGACTTGCTATATCGCTTTCTTTAGCTGGAATTCACAATATTTTTCATGTATACAAACTAAGAAAATTTATTCGAGATCCAGTTCAGGTCTTCGAATTAGCACCAATTGAGCTGAAAGAAGATCTAACTTATCAAGAGAAACCAGCACGTATTGTTGATCAGAAAGAGAGAGTATTAAGATGACATACTATTAAATATGTAAAAAATCAATGGAAGAATCACACCAAAAGAGAAGCAGCATGGGATTTTGAGGATGATATGCGAGAAAGGTATCCACAACTTTTTGAAGACCAAGGTACATGTAGTTTCGACGAGGAAACTTTATTAAAGGTGGGAAGGAAGGATGTGAACACCCATCTTTAGAAGCAAATTCAAAATTAATTTTGCTAGTACACCCTCACAAAAAATATGTTTCATTATGAAAAATGTGATTCTTACTTCAATAGTGTGTGAAAATATGTTATAAAAGTTAGGAAAAAAAACTTTACACCTCTATAAATTCAACCCATTCTTGAGCTTCCCCTCACACAAGAAGAGAAATTCTGAGAATAGAGAGGAAGGAGAAGATCACAACGTTCTCAAATGTGAGTCTTCAATTTCTTGCAATTTTGGTTAATTTAAAAAAAAAGTTACTGGATTCGTTCAAGAGAAACAAGTGAAAAGAAGATGAAAATAGGAAAAATCTCTTGTTAACCCCTAGTTCTAATAGGATTTGTTTTTAGCCCATCTACGTTAAATAGTTGATGTGAACTAATAGGCATAGCGTCCCAGCCACGTTTTTTTTCCCCTTTCATGTTGCTTTTAAGAGTAAAGAATTTACAAATTTTCACTTAACCATGTCTTCCAGATCATCTTAACATCTAGAAAATGATATTTAAAGCTTATTTTTAAAAAAGTTATAACGATAATAATAATAATGACCTTTTGTCCATAATATTTTATTAATGTTATACTTCTAGAAAATTATCTTAAACCCCATGTAGTGACCAAAACTTTATTTACAACTAAAACTCTTTTAATAAAGAAACTGCAAAGAAAGATATTTTAGTAAAAATATTTATTTCAATCCTTAAAATCCAGAAAATTGTGTTTAAGCATGAAAAACAATAGTTTTAGAAAAATTTAGTTTGTGTAAATTATCTTTTAACCCTTATTTTAGAAAAATAATATATTTTCAGTCCAAAATGAAAAGTTCAGAGAACAAATATTTAAAACACCAATAAAAATTAATAAAATGATTAGAAGTGATTAGGAATAGTTTTTTTTTTTTTGAACTAGAAATTCATATGTGATGTATAATTATACGATTGAGTGAGGATTAAGCTTTCTGGAGAACAATCATCAAAGAAGTTCTGCTAAGGTGAGTAGATTTCTTTTCATTGGTTCTTTCAAATTGTTTTGATATAAAATAATATATAAATTATATGTTATGTTAACAAATCTTATTTTTTGTAGAAAATGTTGGATCAGGCATGTTATATTTGTTTACTTATAAAAGAATATAAAGAATTTGGTATTGTGATAATTATTTACCTTTATTACAATAAGTAATATTTAGTACATGAAAGTCACTAAAACCATGTTATCAAATATACTCAACTTTATTATTGATATGACTTTCATGTAAAAGTTCAAATTTGACAAAAATATTATTTTCCTATAAAAATGCATGAGTATTCTATTTTCATGAAGAGATGAGAAAGTTATGAAAGCGTTGAAGCATATTAAATTGCTTTTTATACAAGTGGAAATTACGTGCGCTATTTAAAGTGAAAAATATATTGTTTCTGAATGTTGAAAATCCTCGGAACTCCACTACGGAGTGATTGATTTGTTTAAGCGGATTTGTTTAAACCTAACGTATGGCATTGAGTATACCGAAAAGTGACCTTTTTGGCAAATATGTGAATGTGGCCTTTTGACAAATGGTATCAAAGCAGTTGTCAGCCGAATCTATGGAGCTAAGTGTTATACGGACTAAGTGCTACACTGGGTGAGCACGGTGGGAGCCACCTCTAGAGCTCGTAGAAACTACCTCTAGAGTCTGTATCGTCTGGCAATACATGGATGTGTCAATTGTCATGTTGCGACAAGAACATCGCATATGTAAGGTGGGGTGGTTGTGATGCCTCAAGATAGTCCCACATCGGATGTGGAGACAAATGATTAAGTGCTTATATAGTGAAGCTAAAGGCTCAAATTTAGCATCGGCTAGTCGATTTTGACAGTGGATTGAGCCAAACAACCCACTACACTCAGTGGGTCTCGCGGCTTGCACGCGCCAACAGGCCCGCGGGCCTAGAGTGTGACAAAGTTTCTTCCACATACTAAAACAATCTTGTCCCTGTTACCTAGAGACATCCTACTAAAAATAATTTCCATCAACCCGTGAGGTATTCTGTGATAACATTCTCGTTTAACAATCTGCCTTTCACAATGAATTCCTTAATCTCACCATCATGGTGTACAGTCAATCCTAATAGGGAAAATAATCATTCTTTTATCTTTATTGTTCATTAGTGTGCATTACATCCTAATTTTCCACTACTACTCTAAATCAACTTTCCGCTTCACAAAACCCTAAATGCTTGTTCAGTTACTAGACATAGCAAGTTTTAGCATTCTACTACCTGCTAAGTCTTTCCAAATGCTAAAAATCACTCTAGTGAGCATGTAATGACAGTTTGGGGGCTAAGGGCAATGTTAGGCTTCAAAAGAATGACTGGTTTCCTGGTTTAAGATCCTTTCTATTATCCAATTAACTCATTAGGAAGCCACATGCACCATGAAACTTCATCCTACATATGCCTAGTAAGAACCTAATGTATCTAAAAAAACAGGGAACATGAACTTATGAATCACACCCTAAAAAACAGACAATAGGCTTGTTAAGGCATTTAATGTGATATTTGAGATCATCAAGTAGTTCATGTTGCAAGTATATGATTATCTCATGTTTAACCGGATGGAAGCCAAAATGACAGAGACAACTGAAACTTCATTTTCAGTCAAAGTTCAATGATACAAACACAATCTGGGGAAGAAAACAACAAACATCCATGAAAAGAAGAAAATGAATTGTGGTGTAGCAAGCAAGCCGACAGAAATTTTTTAAAAACTAATATAGGAGAAAGATGAAATTCTAGCTTCTACTCTGAGCTGAATTTCAAGAAAAATATATGAGACTGTAAAATGCATACCATTTCCTTGCCCGCCAATCTTTTCCAAGTTCCAGTGGTTGGATAATAGTGCAAACATGAAAAGGAAAGCAAAGAAAATCAAAAAAATTAGATCAGTAACCTGACATTCAAAAGAAATCTTAGTAGACAGATAATATTTGCCCACAAGATAAAGAAGCATGCATTTGGTCACCATATGCACTTAGAAAATGAAGTTATTATCTCTCCATATTTAAAGCATCTTTGCAAAGCATCTAGTATGTAATGCATAGACACAGACGTGACATCTGGTTACATCAATACTATATATGCTAAGTAGATATGGACTCACAGATATGGAAAATGATAAATGAATACGTTGGATGTTGTGAAATATTTTAAAGTTGTTTAAAACCCTTCGCTTAAGAATCTGTCGATAGAATGCATCTACAAATCAAACTGAGTTGTGAATCATCACCCGTATAGTCTATTTTGTATCTTCTTTACCTCAGAGATGTTTGATATATCTATAGATTACAAATCTTAGGACATGTGTGAAGGAGCATCTAACATGCATCCACCAAGCATTGGACTAGCCAAGCATAAAAAATGTATCTGAGAAAGGTACGACTCCTTCATCCACGCATCCATACAGCCTGGCATGTATATGATATAAAGTAACCCTAATTACAGTGCATGCCAAAGAAGATATTGACCTCATCCTTGACATAACGATCAGCAGGCATCTAAAGACCATGAGAGTAAGTCAAGCAATGCACATGAGAAGAACAACCATACGACAATTAGATACCTGTTCAATATCCTCCTTAAATAATATGCATCCATATGTTCTAATATGTTAGACATTATGTATGACTTCCACCAGAAGTTCACTGCAATGGTCACATTATCACTGTCCACTTGGTGAAACCTGTTGAAAATAAAATTTCGAATAACCTATACATAAGTTAAAAATGATAATATATTTCAACCCAAAAAACAGGGTTTTGGAGGAAAAAATAGATAAATTACCAAAGCATATTACATGACCATGATAAAGAGTTGAAAAATTTCCAAAGAGATAAAAATAATGAGACAAATAAAATATAAGCATAACCAGAAAACATTACAAATTTGACTATATTTTTGTGCACAAAGTATACATCATTATAAGTAAATTACACAATAAATGTGCACGAAGGTTTTGTTGGTAAAATACAGAAAGACTGCATCAGCATTCCCCGATAAAGTAAATAACAGATGCACATAAGACTTTAGCCACTATCGTAAACCATCAAACTAACTGGAATTAAGTTCAGAGAAAAAACTTCAATACAAATTTCAAGATTGTTCCTCACTGATAGCTCTATACAAAAAGAGCTGGGGAAAAAACACTAAACTTCTTTTTTTCATCGAGTTGCATGGAATCGGATTCGTTCCGGTTCACGGGACAGGTACAGGAGACGAGTTAGCCACTCATTAGGAACCGGGTACGAGGGAGTAGGCTTATACGATAAGCTAGAGAATGTAGTATGCATTAGGTTTGGTTCTTAAATGTAGTATGCATTAGGTTTGGTTCTTATATGATAAGCTAGAGAATGTAGTATGCATTAGGTTTGGTTCTTAAATGTAGGAATCAGAGGTTTTGCAATAGTCATACTTAAGATATATACCAGTTGATAACAGTAATGGTAAAAGAACCTTGAGAATTATGTTGCAATTAAAGTATATATACCTTATTTGCTTAATTTTTCACATCTTTTGTTGTTTATTCTATTGAAAAAGAGTTATTGATCAGCAAAATCTTAACTATTTGAATTCTAAATCGGGTTGCTACTTGCTAGAGATAGTGAATCGGGTCGTGTTCCACCATGAATCCAGGATGATTGAATCCGGGTTGCGGTTCGGTCTAGCGTCCAACGTTCCCAACTTCTATATTTCATCCCATTCAGTGAACATCAGTATCATTCGCTAATTACCTTGTCAAATATTCAAATATAGTATAAATTTTCTCATGGCGTATTACACATCTTTTTATCACATTAGTTTGCAAGAAGCGCGGGCATGCTTATACCAAGAACCAATAAGGTACTATATCAAATGTGGCATTTTTTCCTTCTTTTTAGTTGTTGTTTTGTGCCTTCCTTTTTTCCTCATGCACTGTAATTCTAGCCTTCTAGGTTTTAATTTTGCCAGCATTATTTAATACATAGTGTTCAAATAAAATCACATATTGATATATCACTAAGCATGATAGCTGTTCATTTGACATAGAGAAGCATAGGTTTCTAATTGAGATTTAACGTGTCACTTCAGGTGACAAGAATAATTCACATAGTAGTTGACATATGGAGTACTGGGATTAGCTCATACAAGTCAGTGTAGGAGCAAATGTCCTGAATGCCAACCAGTTAAATTTAAGTCAACTGAATACTTCAAAGGTCTTACTTGAACTAGAAAAAAGACCAGTAACAACTTAAGTTAAATTGGCCAGGTGCTTCACACTAAGTTACTGTGGCCTTTAGTTGTTTCCTTCAAGATTATAAGTTTCAAAATGTAGTCATAGATCATGAAAATTTTTTGAAAATCATGAACTTTTCTTTTAAAAATTAGTTATAAATAGAGACTGCTGATGGAGGCCAAAAACAGTGCCAGCAAGAAAATAATAAATGGGTGACAAATAGCATAACCCTAATGAGCACTTACCAGCCTTCAGGAATAAATAGAGCATCCCCAGAATGAAGAATGATCTTTTGGGAATATTCCAATGAGTGTTCACTTCTAGGATGAACTAAAAGATCAGGGTTTTCTAAATCTACTGCACTGAGAAATGGAGGGAATATTAGAAAAAACTGAAGTTTCAAGCTATGCAAACATTAATTTAGAATCTAAAATCCAAAATTTTCAAAAGATTTCAAACTCACACTATGATGGAGAATATTGTCAAATGTATAAATTGCATATATCAAAGTATAGATACCTGTGGTTGGAAGACTCTCCGTGTATGGGCATTGGATATAGAAAGGGACATGCAGAAGGTGGCCACAAAACAACTGAAAGAGCAACCAAATAATCACAAAGGTTAATAACTATCATTAACAACAAGTTAATAACCATCATAAACAATAAAAAAAGTTATATTACTAACTATATAAACTGAACACGTCAAGCACAAGAGAAGCATTTTCATATGCTCCTATATACACCATTGTGAATTTCTATTATGGATTTCAATACCATTGAGATGGGAATACGGCCTTACCAAAATATGACATTTTCTGTAGTGTTAGGATTTTTTGCACCCTTAGCGGGCTGCCATATCCCAAAATCATGATATGCAGTTGTTATAAGATATATGATAGAATCAATATGTTAGTGAGATCCAATCTCTTGGGCTGATTATCCCTATCTATAAGGATTTGGTAGCTAACTGAATGATCATATCCCTTAGTTGAAGTTCCCCATATAAATAGGGGTAGAGCGCTCATATATGATACAAAATTCAAAATACTCAAATTGGCAAGGGCTCAAGAGAATTGATCGGAGGTTATCACGTGGGTCGTGAATAGTGCAGAGGAGTCTCGTTGATCATAGTTCCCTCCACCATCAAGATCCGAGTAGGTCATCGCTAGCTGCAGATCAGCACCGATTTGATATATAATTTCTCCCCACTTTCAACATGGTATCAGTCTATCAGAACATTTGGCATGTGCTTTGATCTATTAGCTGTGATGGATTATCTAAATTAATTGTGATCTAAATATATATCTATGCTTATTTAGATCTGAAGGTTTTAATTTATGGCTTGATAATCCTCTTGTTACCGATCAAATATCTTTGATTGGTTAATCTATTATCTTTTTATTTACTTAAACAATTAGTTTTAATTGGATGATAAATGTGAGTATTTCTTTATAAGCCGACACTACATGGCTACAATGCTATGATCCAAGATTTTAAATGTCGGAAGTCAGATTCATGTTGGACAGCTAAAATTTATGTCAGATAGCGAAAATTTGGGATATGTCGGGGGACATACTAAACATCAGATTGCCATATCAGATGGATGTCTACTCAATTTTGGTCACCAATATGGACTGCACTTGTATTGTTATAGCTTATCCTACTTGCGTTGAGTATTCAACATCAAGACACAAGTTTTTCATTTCTCGAAGGGAAGCAATGGAATATTATGCCAACAAATAAACAAAATACACATTGTCAAATTAGAACTTTTAAAGTGACTTGCATAAAATTAACATAAAGTGTTTGACTTTGGATTGATTTCAAGCTACAGTTCAAACTTATTGTTTACATCACGCTTTTATGAATTCGCAATTTCAATTTATAGAGACGAAGATGAACGAAAGGAGATCATGGCGGATAAGAGCGCAACATTTTTAAGCTCTAATCTGTATTATATGCTATCAGGTTACTTAGGAACAAAATTAAAAAAAAAAGAATTAATCGGGTTTGGGTTTTCAGTACTAAACCCAAACCCCAATACTTGTCAACTTAACAAAAAAAAGTCGGCCGATTTTTCAAGACTGAAAATCAGCCGATATATCCGCAATATCCCCTTACATGTCCGACATAGACCTCAAAAATAATATCCGACTTGAAATGGTCGTATCCGTGTTTGCTCTAGCCTCCGATCCGACATGTTAGCCATCATGTTCGACATGTCAGCCGACATTTAAAACCATGTTTTGTTCTGTTCTGTTTTAGATCACATGCTTCCTAATATAATATCCTCCTATGTGGTTAATGAGAAAAAGAAAGTGATCTCAAATGCAAATATCTTGCTGCACAAAATATTCCAAGTTGATATTTTATTATTAAAAGGATAAAATGATTGGAATATGCTTTGCCCATATTTGAACTCAGGACTTGTGTGTTTGAAAACATGCAGCTAAAACCAGACCATGTCCCATATTGGTTAATATTGTTTTTTTAGTAACATGTGTTGCTCACCACCAGGCCAGGTCTCATATTGGTTAATAACGTTTTTCTTTAAAATAAGAATATATGGTTGTTTTCATATGAAGGAGACATTTAAATTTGTCTTGAGTCTCATGCATTGGTGGACATGTACCAATGTAGGATGTCATTTTTGTGCTGTTTTTTTTTCAGATAAGTCCCTGCATTTCTATCTTTTGCTGTTTGAACACGAAAGCAATTTTATTATTGACCTGTTTTGTAGAAACACCCTTGTAATTGCTAAAATGATATTTTGATGCAAATAATAATAATAAAATAGCATGATCCCATGAATTTGCAGATTGATCCTAGTTTTTTGTTGTTATTATATTCCAATTCTGTATATATGTCAATGCTACATCTTTTGAGGGTTTATGAATAGATCTTTTGTATATGTATGTATATCTTTTAGATCTATAATCCACTGGTTAAAAATATTTTTTTGATCTTGTTGATGAAACCCTAACATCCAAAATCCAATCTATGCAAGTCTTTTTTCAAATTAAAAATAAAGGGTCTAAAATTCAGAAAAAATCTAGAAATTTGGGAAATTCTTAAAATAAAATAAAATTTTTTTTATTTTTTTAGGATGGGTCTGGAGAACAAATTAGGTTTGGGATTAGTCGTAGTGAAATTAGTAACTTTAGCTCTTAATTAAATCAAAAATGCGAATATTATAGAAGATTTATATGGGTCTTTAGAACATCACGGTAGCCTCGGGGAGCTCCGTTGATTGTACTAGGCCATATTGGGTCAACTATAATGGTTTGCTCTAATGGAGTTAAGGTCTTATACATGTTGTTGAACCTCAAGGAGTTCCCCCAATTGTGCGAGGACTTGATTGTCTAGATTTACGTATGCTAAGTTAAAGCAATGGACTTGAACACAACAATAATAGCCTCGGGGCTCTTTTTCATTTATGTCATTTCTGTTGGCAACTTAGGCGATAATTTCATTTAGATTTCTAATGAATTACTGTAAAAATCAATCCAACGCTCCAGCTGCACCGACCTACAATACATAAAGAGGTGTTGTGTTGGAGCACAAAAAGGAAGGATGTGGTATATGCGATTAAGTTCACAGTGATTGAGAAGATAGTAAAGACGCTTGAATCACGCTCCTACACATAGAAATTCCCAATTTACCCTTTTGACTAATGCGGGCATAGAATGAAAATATAATTTGAAAAAGGACATCATTGCATAGGATCGGATCTAGTACAGCGCATGACATGGCGCTTTAGATAAATGGACATAAATGAGAGAAGTGATATTTGATGGAAGCTCTAAAACTCCTAAATATACCCTAAAATTTTCAGTGAACAATAGATTATAGATTTTCTTAAATAATTTGTCAAGCGATATTTGATTCCAAGCACATCGAAATTTTGGTCTCGCCACAATGATCTTTCGAATATTGAAATTATATTTTTTGCAAAAATAAAATAATAATTTTGGCTCATTTAAAAGCAACCTAAAATCCAATCTTATGTGTTTGTAGGTCATGGCCCCAAAACTATAATTTCTAATATCCTCAAAGGGCAAAAACTGAATGGTGACAACTACAACATATGGCATCGTAAGATTCGGTATTTGGTAAATGAGGGTGATCATTTGACTGCTCTAGATAAAGAACTTGAGGCGTTGAATTCAGAAGCCATTCTTCAAAGGCAAAAGGGTTACGTCGCTTAGTCAAAAATTGGATCGCAACGTTCAGTATTTGATCCTGAGCTGCATGGACGACGATCTCATTTGTCAGTACAAAAAGAATCCTACTGCAAAGAAAATGTGTGAAGCTCTGCATTAGGCTTTTGGGTTGATCCCATTCACTGATCTACACACACTCAGTCTTCGTTTTGACAAGTATAAGATGGATCCCACTCATGGGATTAAAAAAATCTTAGGATTATGTCTAACATGATCACACAACTGAGTAACCTAAAAATAATGAACAGCAAATTCAGGCTATTATGATCTCGCTGTCAAAAACTGCAAAGTGGGACAATGTCAAGGGGATACTCCTTCACAAAGAGAATATGAAGACATTTGCTGACCTAGAAAAACACTTAGTCTTAAGGAACAAAGTGTTATTCTGGAAGAAGCTGAAAGTTCAGTTCATAAGGTGCTATGAAAGACGCGCCCCCCTAGGAAAGAAACTAAGCCTAATAAGAAGGCTCGCGCGGGAAGAGGGCTGAAAAGAAGGAAAAAGCCAAAACGACATGCAACAAATGTGGAATCTTGGGACACAATGTACATGTATGCACGCAGCGTAAAAAGGTATTCACTCCATCTGTAAATGATGCATTAATTTGCAGCCTTATTTCTTTTTTAACTATTATTGATTCTCCTCATTTATGGGTTGTAGACTCAGGATGCTCAGACTGCATAGTCGAACAAGGATGGATTTGTAGAGTATCATCGTGTGTCGACGAAAAGCGAGCAATTCTTCAAAGGAATGTGGAAACACTCGGCTCTCTTCCTGAAGTCTCGCATGCCCCGAAGATTAGGCAGAAATTTTTTTTTTTTTTTTTTTGTCTAAGTCATCCAAGTCATTGCATTCTGGTTATGAAGTTCGTTTTGAATAAATGTTTCATTATGGGGACATAATTGCTACATTGTTGGGCAACCATTTTGACGATTTATTTTTCATTAATATGAATAATTTTGTTGTAATTGCCAATAAATACATAGTTATTTCTATGAAAGTTCTGTGAAATGATTATGGTATATGGCATGCTAAATTAGTACATATAATGTGAGAAAGGATGATCCATCTAGCTCGAGCAAACTTCTCAGTTTGCTCGCTAAGGTCGTCTTTCCTACTTGTGAGCCTTGCCTTGCCTTGCAAGAAAAGCTATAGGAGAATCATTTGGAATGGCATATTATCTTCCATTATAATCGGTCCATTTTTGACATTTGTTGTCCACTAAGTATGAAGGTTAGGACTGGAGTCTCTTACTTCACTATATTCAATATACAATCAAGTCTACCTAATCTCCCATAAGTATAAAGCACCAGGTTACTGTCAACACTACTTGAATGAGGTTGAGAATCGGTTTGACAAGTATGTAAAAGTGTTACAAGTACGTAAAAGTGTTACGAATTGATCGTGATCGAGAATATCTATCTGAACAGTTTAAGGAATTGTGTGAGAAGAAAGGGATCATCCGACAAATAACTACTCCCTATACTTGGCAACAAAAGGTGTGGCGCAGAGCAGGAATAGAACATTATTTGACATGTAAGGTTCACGATGGCGCAAGCGAATTTATTCATATCCTTCTAGGGAGATGTGATATTGACTGCAGCCTATGTACTAAATTGTGTGCCTTCTAAGGCTGTTGATTTCATACCCTTTGAGCTTTGGACGGATGAAAAACCCGATTTGAGCAATTTATAGCCATGGAACTCAGCAGCTTACATGCACACCACATCCCATCCACATGGGAAGTTAGCCCCAATGGGGGAAGTGCATATTTATTCGCTATTCGAAACATTCAAAGGGTTACATGTTCATTGGAGCACAAGTTGGAATAACTCCTGAGATCGAGTCATGCAATGCATAGTTCCTTGAGAAGGATTTCCTCATAAGGGGGAGATGAGCTAAGACTTTGACTTGTTTGAGATGGAGGAAAGCGCACTAAGTAACCCAGTTGAGCATGAGGACCAAAGTCCTACGCTTCCTGAAGACAGTGGAAGCGGCATTCCCGTAATTAATCATGTACCATCATCACATGAAGCTCAAGAACTCAGACTTAGTAATCACCAATCTTCGTCGTCATTTTGAGATTGAGAGGGAAGCATGCATGGTGGCATCGCATGATGTTGCGGATCTAAAGTCTTTACATGAGTCTCTCTCTGGCCTTAATGCGGAGAAATGGATGGACGTCATAAAAAATGACTAATGTTGTCCAAAATAAACAAACGAAAATAGATAACAAATGTCCTGCATTCGAATTCTATTGGTTGTTTGATGCATGCAATGATGCTTACTCGCGTCGTATTTGCTCCAGCAGCTCAGCTGGACTTGTGCATCGAATGATACACAAGATTATTTCTTGTGCTATAGACACTCAAATTTGTGACTTAAAGAATACACAAATGATGATTTTATGATTGGCTTTTATGACATTCATTTTATTTTTCTCTACACTTATCTGTTGATGCTATAAAATAGTATTGAATCATTTTAATAAATAATGAGCAAAAAAATGAAAGATGTTCAAACAGGTTAAAATGATCGGCTCACTCACATGAGCAGTCGCCTTTGGCGCTATGACTAAGCGAGCAAAGACGAGTGGCTATGAGAAACGTTATAAATTGCTTTGATAGTGAGCGGCATAATGAGTTGTGTTGATATTGAGATGCATTCATGGACGAGCTATATCGCCTCAATTAAGAATCGATATGAGATCATACTTGAAAATGATCGACTCAACGAACGTCCCAGGTTCGTTGCAACCTATTCAAAGAAAAAAATGTGTTTGGGCTCTACTTAGGCACAATGATGCGCTTGCTGAGTGGGAGGCAGACAGGCCTAAGCGAGAAGGTCTCGCAGATTAGGTCAAGATTTGCATGACGTAGAGACGCAACATATACTCTCCAACGGAGCATTACTCCATCGTGGCATGCGGTCCTACCACGTGAGTTGGGTGACTTACATGACTTTAGGGTAGGCGAATGGATCCCTTATTTGCTATCGTGTGAAGCTAAAATCATATAGAGCATATAATTTGTTCCACTTGTACCACTAGTGACATTCAACTATGTTGTAAAGGTTTGGGAGTAGTGTTGCTACTTTGACTCCTCACCTACGGCCATGATAGATTCGGTCTAAAGGAAGGTAATTGGAAAAGCAGCTGATCTCAGCCTGAATCAGCAATTGTATGAGGAAGATCATTAACACTATCTACTTTGGTAATGAGTCTGCATCCGAATCTTTATTTTTTATTAAGTGTGGATCTTGCCAAATAGTTTCACGGTAGTCGAGTATGCTTTTCCTAAGAGGGATAGAAGATACTCGGACTAGAGATGTGTTCACAGTTTGATCTGGGGTAAACGAGACTAACTATACATTTCTTTTCTCCGAGGGCTCAATGTCTTTATTCTCGCTCTATAAAAGGGTTTATAGTATGGAACCCGTTGATCACAAGTTTCTCGATGGTCGCACAACACGGCAGTTGTATGGACCTTTGATCAATTCAGAGCATTGCGGCCCACTTTTAGGTCGAGTGGGAGTATGTCGCAATTTTGTACGCTTTTAGTGGGCTGCCATATCCCAAAACCATGATACATGATATGCAGTTGTTATGAGATATATGATAGGATCAAGAGGTTAGTGAGATCCAATCTCTTGGGTAGATTATCCTTATCTCTAAGGATTTGGTAGCTAACTGAATGATCCTATCTCTTGGTTGAAGTTCCTCATAAATAGCGGTAGACACTTCATATCTAATACAAAACTCAAAATACTCAAATTGGCAAGAACTGGAGAAAATTGACCGGAGGTTGCTGTGTGGGTCGTGAACAATGCAGGGAAGTCTCATCCATCATAGTTCCCTCTACTGTCAAGATCTGAGTAGGTCGTTGCAAGTCTCATCCATCGTGGTTCACTCCACTGTCAAGATCCGAGTACGTCGTTGCTAGCTACAGATCACAGAACCAATCCGATGTATAATTTCTCCCCACTTCTTTCAACATATAGTGAGGCTTGATGCCAGAGCTTCAAATGATACTACCATAAAGACCAAATTACTTGTACATGAAAAACTGAAGATGTTCTAACATTGAGCACAGCCATAAGTTATTCCAACAGCATCTATAGACAAGATAGACTATTATATAAACAATACCTTGTTTAGAACCAGCAACAATGCAAAGCAGATTATGGTATGGATCATAGTGAGTGCTAGACCTGGATCGAGCCTTGTTCATCCATAAATTGATAGATGTCAATTCCTTTGCCCTGACAAATACAGGCTATGCCATTGAAAGAAAAAAGTCAGGCAAGATAAATAAAGAACACATTGACTTGTCTTCAGATTTTTATTTTTATTTTTTTGTGAAAAAAATTCACATATATAAATGGTGAGGACGATGACCTCTAACATCACAAATTTACACATCTTGACAACAAAGAGTTTGCACAGGGAACAAATAGAAGAGAAGGGAGTCGAAATAAAAAGGTGTAAAAAGATGCTCACACCGTTTGTAAGTCATTGCTCAGAATTCCCAATGGAGACTTGTCTTTACTTTCATTACTGAAAATGGGTACCTGTGAAAGAAAATCCCTAGTGTCAAATACGAAGAAAGTTTGTCTTTGTATCATGAACGAAAATAGCAGTCCCCACACTGCTTTTGAGAGTACATGCAATTTACATTATAAAAAATGGGGGTCATGATAATTCTCTGTCTGAACCTAAATTATTATTAATTCAAGCCAGTCATATCCTCAAGAGTTAGAAAAAGTATACAGATGCCATTGAGGAATGTATCATGGTTTACCTGTGCAAGATATATTTGATCAGAGCTATCCAATGAAGTTGAACATGATTCTTCAGAATGCACCTGAGACGCTGAGAACTCTTCTTGTTCAATGGTGGAACTACTCCTCATATCCGCATTTTTTTGAACATAATGTTTACAAGAGGAGATGAAGGTGCCAAATGGTAAAGAAACCTACCATCATAAAATTAGTTAATATACAGAATTCTCAGCAACTCAAACTACGTCCCAAGCTTCGCAGAGCAACATCCATAATACAAGCCTTTGCCAGAAATTATGACAGACTGAGAGGTATGATTTGAAGATAGGACAGATCAATAGAAAAAAGTAACAAGTTTTGATTGGTTATCAAACTGAGATCGACTTTATCCAGTCGTGCCAGATTCTTGCCCAAGACAACTATGAGAAACATAAGAGTTACCATAACACATATATAGCCAACGGAAGATAGGCATCACCATGCAGTTTAAACCACGAAACCAAACGGAGAAAAAGAAAGGTCATGTCATTCTCAATATGAAAGGTGAAATAATGAATTTTCTAATTAGGAACAACCTCTTCGCTGAGCACAAACCAAGATAAAGGGCCAAATGTAAATTACAGTTACAGATATATACTCACCCTCTCGTGGCTTTGAACATCACCATAGAAAACTGGAGCAGAACTTGATAGCATAGCATCCACAGTGACAGATCCAATACTTTCCTGCATTTCAATTATTTAGGGCTTATGAGTCAATGCCAAATCAAAGTCCAATGAATTTACAATACGCAATACCACAAACGTGACTAGACTCTTGGATTACCTAAAAAGCTTCTTGTTTAGATAGCTGAACTACAAACATTTAACTCTATAGGAAGTATTTGGCTATTTGAGCAGAGTCAATTAGGCCATCAGTTCCCTGACTTCAATCATTGAGCATTCACCTCGTATGGCATTGAGCCACTATCGAGGCTTAGCTTGTTCACCTAGCTCTTCCTCAGCCAATGGCTTTTCCAGTGGGAATTTTGGAGGATAGACCCTTCATGTGCCCATCCACATCCCTGGTTCTCAGGAAGACATTTATAATCCCTTGCTAAGAAACATGGACAGTACTAGAACAGTGTGACACAAACATGTAAGCGGGTTATGATACTTTCTTAAGAAGTGGGGAAAATGACATGAAGACACTACAGCACATTATTGTTACGCGTAATAATAAAGTAATTCATATATGCATGCATAAATAGACATTTTCATGCATACAACTAGACAGTTCTTTATAATATTACAAAATTTATAATGACTACATACATGCTCAACATTAGCCTATCATAATTTTTTGCAAAGAGTGAATAAGTATTGGCTCTTCAACTTTCTATAGAAAAGTTGAAAATATTTGAACTTGCCATAGTCTTAATACAGGTCAATATTTGTTCCGTCCCAATTATCTTCATACAGGCTACATGTTTTTCTACTATGTAAGAAGCCTTAGGTTGTTTGTGCACAACAATTATAATTATAGTCCATGTTAGATACTAGTTTAAGCATTTCAAATTCAGGTAAGTGACTCATATCAACCCATTTTCAGTTTCTGGATCTGCGCATGTCTCCATTTGATCAAGCTCAAGAATTTCCAACCATGGCAAGTTTTATCAACAGCGAGATTCTTAACAATCATTTATTTTACTTGAACGGAGTCATATAGAGCTTTCTTGATAACAACTTGCACATAAGGCAATCAAGATCCAATAGAGAACCGCTAAAACCCTAATCTATTCAGCTTCGAACCAAAACCCTAGTGTAAAAGTGGGAGAGATACCTCCAAGTAATCGAGGCCTCCACGGGCAGGATCCCACCTTGAGATCGCCTCCCAGTTCCTGATAGCCCCTCTGAAGACCTTTAAACAGTAGAAATTTTTAGGAATTAAAATGAGAAGCTAGGGTTTTTTTTTTTTTAAGGAGAAGATAGAATTTCAAAGGATTTTGCTTATAATTACAGCGGGAACATTTCTAGGCTCGATCGTGGAAGAGAATTCTTCGAACGAAGGGATGTCATCGAAGTGCAGAACCCGCAGAGAATCGTCCAATTTCGCCATGGCTGCAGCTGTAGCTGCTGTTCTCACCGGATTGAACAGAACAGAAAGGGCGGAGATCAAAGAGCCGGGCCCAAAACCAGAGGCAGTTGATTGGGCCGTTGCTAGATTGGTCTTAGAGCAAGTGCGGACAAATTTTCAAAACCAACCGTTTTAGGAATTTAATTGCAAAAAACGACCGTTTTCGATAATAATTGCAAAAACCGACCTGTTTTCAGCCCAGCGCTGAAAACAGGTCGGTTTTTGTAAAAAAATTCTCCGAAACATCACGGGAGTTCAACTCCCGTGAAGTTTATGGAGAAATTAAACTTCACGGGTATAGGCGTATAAAATTGCTTATAGATCCCTTAGCTCAGCTCGGCACAAACCAACGAACCAACGAGGCGACGAGATCGACAAATCGCACGCGAACAACGGAATGAATCCACCCGCGTGCAGAATCAAGCTAACGAGTTGAGGAATCAACGAGTCATCCAACCGAGAACAGACTCGGACGAATCACGATCGAATCAAGATCAGTTTCGGACTCGAACTCAGAAGCGGATTTACTGCCAAATCAGGAATCCGACTTACTGCCAAATCAGATCAACCAATCAGAGTCTCAATCAACCGAATCACGGACAAAACCGGAAAACGGACACAACTCAAAAACTCGGAAAACCCACACCCATAGGTGGCTCGGCACAGTGTCGGCCACCCAGAGGTGGCCGACAGTGGCCGACGGTGGCCGACATTTCTCTTTTTGCGGGCACTGTCCTGAGAGCCTATAAATAGGCCTAGAGATGTTCATTTCCAGGTCGAACTTTCAAGAGCCGAAACTCTGCCGGATTGAAGAGCAAACTCAGAGTTTTGAAGACTTGAAGACTTGGACGTACAGATCTGATCCAAGACTTGAAGACTTGCACGTACAGATCTGATCCGCGGCGAGCACCTACGTCAGAAAAGGCAGGATTTCGAGAGGAGGCAAAGAACAGATCTGAGATCTACACGATATCACACTCCGCGACCGCAAAACAGGAGCTCGTGATTTGTTCACAGAGGAGAGTTGTAATTTTTCTTTATTTTCTTTGATTTAGTTGTAACCGGATCTATAAAAGACCGGATCTTTGTAACCCAAGATGACAATCATATCAATGAAAAAGAAAACAGTTTTCCACGCGAACAATCTGGCGACCACAGTGGGAGCCGACGATCTCGCCAACGAGATCGATGCGTCGCAGCCGCGGATTGCAATCCCGGTCGTGGAGGAGGTCGAGTACGAGTTCGACCAAGCCAAGTTCGAGGAGTACGTGTCCTCGTCCGGCTCTATCTCCCCCCGCAAGTCCAAGAAGTTCTCCTCCGGGAGAAAAGCTCGTTGGTTTGAAGCTGCTCGGGAAGCCCACGAAGCTCTCAACCCAACTGACGCCGAAGTTGCGTCAAATGAAGTTCCACCGACCTCCAATCAGGTCAACCCAACTCCCGCCAACGCCTCCACTGTTCAGGGCGTTGTGACTCTCTCAAAGAGAGCCCGCCAGAGGCGTCGTCAACGCCTTGCGCGGCAATTCGCTAAGGCGATGGAGTCTACGGACGGATTCCGCTACCACGCGGAGTTGAAGAACAGAAGAGGCAAACAGCCTCAACCACCAATGAATGGCGACTCTTCCAAGCCGCCAAAGAAAGAATGGGTCCGCGTCAAACGGAACCGTTCGACGCTCGAGGAGCGTATTCGCAAGCGCCGCGCGATGTCAGCGCAGGCACGGGCTCAAGCTCAGGAAGCCCGTAGAAAGCTGCAAAAGGAGGTGGAGAAGAAGCCACCACCAACACGCCAAGTCTGGAAGCCTAAGTCTGAAGTGGCGACTCAGGCCAAAAAGCAACCAGTGCAGCCTTCTAAGGAAGGTCAAACTCCGGCGAGTCAACCAAAGTCGCCGTCAATCCCAATAACTTCTCCGGGAGATCATGCAGAGTCATCCCGCAAGAAGAAACCAATTTTGGAGCGCCTCGGTCCAATTCCTGACGTGAGAGGCAAAGCTCCAATTCACGAGCGTTTGGGCCCGATGAAGAAGCCCAGAACGACTCAACATACTGGGGGTCGCCATCACCTCCAGCATGACAAAGAGCTCAAGGCAGCTGCGCGCACCAATTTGCGCATTGAAGTCCAAGAGCACGCCGAAAATTCACGCCCAAAAAGGCATGTTTTGAGGCGGGTAACCTTTGAAAGCCCAAAGAAGGCAAGTCACCCTCAGATGGAAACATTATCATCTGATAGTGATAGTGTTATACCTGAGAAGGCGTGCCCGCACACGATAGGTTACTCTGACTGTCAAAATGACGAGTTGTACTATCGTGCTGGGGGTACGAATAGAACCAGGAAGAGGAGTCCCCGAGAACAGGAAATTCAATGTCCCTGTTCCAAACTCATTCGGGCGGTATTGTCTGAATGCAATTGCATTAAGGCGGTCCCCGAAAGAGTTTCAGTTTTTGAAAGACTCAATGCAGAAACGCCAAAACCAAGGCCTAGGCGCTTCCAACGAAGAAGAAGGGTGATTGAAGACGGAGAATTTCCGAGGGTCACCACCAATATGACCAGCAAAGGGACATCGGCACGGGATGATTTCGAGTCAATTCTGAAAGCCTCCCGGCCTAGAACCCGTCTGCAGTCCGGAACCATTGAACGAGCAACCTATGGTAGGATTCGGACAAGACGCCCTTCAGAAGATGAAGAATCTGATGCCGGCTCCGCGGTGGCATCAGATAATACAGTATCCAGCGAGGGACAACCCCGCGAGGCCCTGATGATAAGTGCGGAACAGATGGCCAAGATGCTTGAAGACGCTTTGGCTAAGCAGAAAGAAAGTTTCAAATTTGAGATGGAGATGGCCATGCAGCAGATGAGAGAAATGCATGACCAACAAATCCAAGCATTAGCGAACCAACAAGGCGAGCAGAATCATCGTAACCCGGTTAATCCGGAAGATGAGGATACAAATGCTCGTAATACCAATGATCCTCCCGTCAACGCAGGGGGTGGTAATGAGAATGCTGGCGAAAACACCGGCGAAAACCTGAAGATCAAGAACCTCGAGAGCAAAATCAACACATTGATCTCCGCTCAAGAGACGAAGAAAACAGGCATTCCTTGCCCATACCCAAGAGAATGGGAATCGATCCCATATCCGGCGAAGTTTAATCTAATTAACTTCACGCCGTTTAATGGGATGGATTCACCTACCCAGCATTTGATTTACTTCAAATCGCACTTGGGAGTTATCTCTGGTAATGAGCCTCTGATGGTGCGGTCATTCGTCGGCACTCTTCGCGGAGCTGCCTTCGATTGGTATCGCCGCCTCAAGCCAGGCAGCGTAAACAGCTAGGACGATATGGAGACCAAGTTCCTAGGCAACTTTTTCGACGACGACACCGAAGTATCTATCGGATCGTTGCTCGATGAGAAACAGAAGGACGGAGACCGAGAGTTACGTTAGTCGACACTGTTCGTCAAGAGGTTCCGGACAAGGCGGATGAACACTGTCGGACCCGATCACCAGCGAATTCAGTCCTCAAAACTGCCAAACAACCTTGCACTGGCACGTGTTGAACGCAATGGGGAACAGCATGTCCAAGACGTGGAAGGACTTAAGGTCCGAGGAGAGCAAGCCGAGCGGTTCCTCAAAAGGCAAAGAAGGCGGAGAGAGCCAACCGGCGGCCAAATGCTCCAAAGCAAGAATTTCGTCACCAGGGGGAAGGTAAGGCACAGAAGCTAATGCAGTTGATTGCTAATCAAAACTTTCCAATTGCAACGCTCAGAACAGCCGCCAGCAACAGCACCAACAGATCTCGAGAGCAAGGCAACATACGGCTCAGAAGAGAAATCTGCGGGCCGAGATTCCTAAGTGTACTCTTCAAGGATGACGAAGTTCCCGGCATCTCAACATACCTGTTGGAGAACGAACAAGAGCCCAGCTGCCGCGATCGCCTTGATCAGGAGGGCGACAGGTGACAGACCCGAAGTATTGCGCGTACCACAGAGCAGGCCATCAAACCCAACAAGTCGTGACCTACCACTCAGGACAAGACAGGCCTCGATACTTCGGGTCTGTCACCTGTTGCTCTTCCTGATCTCGATCCGCGGCCAGCTGGATCTTTCGTTGTTTCCAAGGTATTTGAATGATGCGGGACTTGTCCCTTGAGCTCACGTACACTTTAGAATCTCGGCTCCGAGATTTGCTATGAGGCGTTGTGGTGCTCTCGAGTTGTTGGGGGCTTGTTGATGGGGGGCTGTTGTGAGGAGGTTGCATTGAGAAGTTTTTAGCATCATCATGTTGTGCCCTTACTTTCCGTGGACGAATTCTGTTTTGGAGATTGGCGCGTGCTTTCGCTTTTTTTAGACGTCGCTTGTCTTCGGACTTTAAGTCTCACGTTTGACGTGCTTTCTTGTCTCAACACTCCAGTGAAGGTTTTGCGGTTGGGGATGAATTCCCGGTGATCGGGTCCGACAGTTTCTGCTTGTTCCGGAAACTTGCGAAGGTGTCGACTAATCTCCTCTTATGTTTCATCGAGCACGGATCGTAGATATTCCGTTCGCGTCGAAAGTTGCCTAGGACTGTCCATTCGTCTAGCTGTTTACGCTGCCTGGCTTGGGGCGATACATCGAAGGCTCCGAGTGTCGGATTGCGCACCTCGGGTCTTACAGAGATACTCCAGTGCGATTTGGGTATAAATGTGGGTAGGGAATCTCCATTAAACGGGTGAGTATTGATTACTTCGCGGTATGGATTGTTCCTTCTCTTGGGTATGGCAGGAGGGATGCTGTTTCTTCGTCTATGAGCGGGAAATCATGTGTTGATTTGCGCCTGAGATTCTGTGATCTTCGGTTTTCGCCGTGTTTTCCGGATTTCATTCCACCCTGCGTTGACAGAGGATTTGGTATTCGGATTTGATCATCATCTTCGTTACCGGAGTTACGTGTTCTGACTCCTTGTTGGTTCGCTAATGCTTGTTTGTTCGGCATGCATTTCTTTCATCTTGCAGGCATCTATCTCGAATTTGATTTTTTCTTAATGCAAGGTTCAGATCTGGCCATTTGCCGCTTATCTAGGCCTCGCGGGTGTTGTCACTCGCT